ATACAGTTTATATGATTTCATGATGATGATAATGTTATTGCTTTCGTATATTGTTTTATGAATTTCACCGAGATGAGTGGATGGTAAAGGATTTATTATTGGCAAAAGGATTTATTATTGGCAAAAGGATTTGTTGTAAATTATGCTCAATTGGTCTTTTTGTGTTTTCTACCCACCTTTACCTCCGTGACGGTGAGATATCGTGATGTCTTTACTGGGGTAGTGTAGCTCATTCCTTATTTAATTATTTCAGATCAGGAAGACATTGTTCCCGAGCCCGTTCCGCAGGAGGATGACGAAGAGGACGCCTAAAGACTACATAGTTATATTTATAGTTCTTATCTCGATTATCTCTCTTAGTTAGTTTGTAATTTCATGTTTTGAGTACGTTTTGGTTATTGTGTAAGGGATGTTAATCAAAATTTTGACTTCGCTTCCGCATTTGATATTTTTAATACACATTTCATTTTAAATTTTCGGGGTCGTTACATTTAGAGCACGGTCTAAAGATGTGTAGGTTTGGTTATGGTATCTGGCAGTTTACGCAAGAACTTTTGCTGCTTGTTTCTTTCACATCTCATCACCACAAACTACAGACTTGTATACTCAGTTGTGTGTTACATTTAAGGAAAGGGTGTTTTCGTTTCTCTCTATAGCATCCTATGTATTAAGTGATACAATGAAGGTACTGAGACTTGGTGGAAAATGATGTCATCTTGGTCACTGATTCCACAAGTTTCTATCAGATTTTTTTTTTACCGTTGTACATTTTATTTTATATTAAATGATATGAGGAAGTAAAAATTTAATGTCTTTTTAAGTTTCGAAACAAAAGTTCCTTTTGCCTCTGGCCCAAAGTACTTGCAGCTTACTTTTATGTCTCTACTTAGGTATGCCATTATCTTTTTTTTTATTTGCTGGTAGGTTATATCAAAAATTTTAATTCTTGAAATTGGTTGAGCTATCATACATGTCTGGGTTACAACGAATACTGCCGTTATGTTACCACTATTCGGAACCTACAACTTTTGCACCAAACTTCAACACTGTCAGTTGATCTCTTAGACTTGTACGTTTACTTTTCAAGTTTTTCGTTTAAAATCTTTATTCAGCAGCAATTCAAGGATTAAAATAAAGAGTAGAATATTTTACTACAAATACTTGGAGAATAACTATATGTTGAATTTATCTTAGTTCTAATAATTGTTCTAATGTAGATCTTCATAAATTTGTCGAGAAAACTATTTGAAAGAACTAAACCTTCGAAGTATATTGGACCCAAAGAGTAGTAGTCTAACCAAACTTCAAATCTTGTAAGATCTTTCTTCTTTTTCCTTTTTGTTTGAGCAATATCTGTGGTTAAAAGAGATTGATACGTTTAATATGCAAGACAACTACGAAGCATGGCATAACAGCATCAATATTATGTTGCTGACTTTTCTTTGCTGTAGGTATTTACTGGAGACTTGTTTAAGTGGAAAAAATGGAGTTTCTTCCAGTTGCTATCTACACAAACAATTGTATTATGTTACCCTGAATTTTCTTGAAAATATTTCTCTCGCTGTTATTTTGTTTAAGAAACATTTATAGTTATACAAAATTAATGTTTATAATATGCAAGATAGTTAAAAAGCTACAGATAATAGGGTATACTCATTTTGCCAGCTTTTCCTTGGTGCAGTAAATTGGAGTGAGGGTTAAACCTTCCTAAGTGCAGAGCTACAGATTAAAGGTTTTTGAACCCTACTTTATTTAATTGAATGGTGGAACTTATCTTTCTTGTAAAATAGTAAAAGAGGTAATCGGACTTGCCTTGTTGTTGGTTACTAGAGACTTGTTATTGAAAGGAACAAATGAGGTTTCTTCCTGTTGCTGGTTATGCAGGCGACCAGTGCAGCTGTGAGGATGTGTGGCTTTTGAGTATGATTTTACTCCATATACTTTATTAGAAATGGAATTTTTATTCTTACTGGGTTTTATAGGGTTGTCATCTCATATTTGTATGTGCAATTTGTGTACTGTTGATACGGAAGTTTATAGCTTGAATTTCCATTTTGGTGGATTTTCGTCTTGGGAAATAAGTCATTTAGCATAGTCCAGTTTCAATGGAGTTCATAGTAACCACGTGGCTCTTCATAAACGGATTGATCCATTGAATATCCTACAAATTTTGTGCTTGACTAGGAATCTTTTGTTGATAAATAGATCTTTATAAATGTTGGCTGGAGTTATTTTTATTTTACCCACAAATAGTCTTATTCTTTTTATCTTTGATGTTAAACGCCTTCTTTCCTTGGAGAAGTAGTTGTCTTTGTTCTATTTGTGTTTTTTTGTTTACTTAAGCTCCTGTGGTTCGTAATTTTTTTCGTGCTTCAAATAATGATCTAATGTATTTGGTGATTCGTATTATTTCTCTTGCAAAATCAAGAGTCAGTATTCTGCTTATTAGTGAATATTATTTATACTTTGTGATGCTCTTGGAAGTCCTTTAACTATAACTTGATCCTTCTTCATGTCTGATTTATGGTGACTATATCGTAGCTAAATGATATCCTTCGTACAGTTAAAGTTGGTGATTTTTATTTCAAGAGGTACCCAATATCTGGCTACATTTATAGCTATTGGTGCAGACAACATTGCATTTTAATTTTGTCTCATAAGTTCATTTTATTTTGAGTACTCTTTTATGCAGGAAACAAAGGCACTACTGCCAATATGTCGTCTTTTAAGAATACGTCAGTCCTTGTTAATACGTAGTTTGGGTCCAAATTGTTCCTCAGTTGGTTTTATGGTAATTCTATTTTGTTTCTTTATATTTTTTTAAGAATTAGATAAAAATGCTCATGGGTTTTCCTCTCTCTAGATATTTGTTGTTTATTATCCCTTTGAAGATAAAATTCAAGAATTTTAAAGTTGTAAAGGCACTTTTTTCTGATAGATTGCAAGACATGCCTGCATTATACAAGTCGCCACTTGTTTATTATAAGAAAGGCCTGCATTATTCGAAGATGTTTGTTATATAGGAATCTAGAATGCTAAGTGTAGAGCTACAGATTGAAGGTTTTGGAACCCTACTTTATTTAATTGAATAGTGGAACTTTTCTTTCTTATAAAATAGTAAAATAAGTAATTGGACTTGCCTTGTTGTTGTTTACTAGAGACTTGTTATTGAAAGGAACAAATGAGGTTTCTTCCTGTTGCTGGTTATGCAGGCAACCAGTGCAGCTGTGCGGATGTGTGGCTTTTGAGTATGATTTTACTCCATATACTTTATTAGAAATGGAATTTTTACTCTTACTGGGTTTTATAGGGTTGTCATCTCATATTTGTATCTGCAATTTGTGTATTTATAGCTTGAATTTCCATTTTGGTGGATTTTTGTCTTGGGAAATAAGTCATTTAGCATAGTCCAGTTTCAATGGAGTTCATGGTAACCACGCTGGCTCTTCATAAACGGATTGATTCATTGAATATCCTACAAATTTTGTGCTTGACTAGGAATCTTTTGTTGATAAATAGATCTTTATAAATGTTGGCTGGAGTTATTTTTATTTTACCCACAAATAGTCTTTTTTTTTTTTTTTTTCTTTGATGTTAAACCCCTTCTTTCTTTGGATAAGCAGCTGTCTTTGTTCTATTTGTGTATTTTTGTCTACTTAAGCTCCTGTGGTTAGTAATTTTTTTCGTGCTTCAAATAATGATCTAATGTATTTGGTAATTTTTATTGTTATTCTTGCAAAATCAAGAGTCAGTATTCTGTTTGTCAGTGAATATTATTTATACTTTGTGATGCTCTTAGAAGTCCTTCAACTATAATTTGATCCTTTTTCATGTCTATTTATGTGGACTATATCGTAGCTAAATGATATCCTTCGTACAGTTAAAGTTGGTGATTTTTATTTCAAAAAGTGCCCAATATCTGGCTACATTTATAGCTATTGGTGCAGACAACACTGCATTCTAATTTTGTCTCGCAAGTTCATTTTATTTTGTGTACTCTTTTATGCAGGAAACAAAGGCACTACTGTCAATATGTCGTCTTTTTAGAATGTCTTGTCCTTGTTAATTCGTAGTTTGGGTACAAATTGTTCCTCAGTTGGTTTTATGGTAATTCTATTTTGTTTTTTTATATTTTTTTAACCAACTTTTAAGAATTAGATAAAAATGCTCATGGGTTTTCCTCTCTCTAGTTATTTGTTGTTTATTATCCCTTTGAAGATAAAATTCAAGAATTTTAAAGTTGTAAAGGCACTTTTTTCTGATAGATTGCAAGACATGCCTGCGTTATTCAAGAAAGACCTGTATTATTCGAAGATGTTTGTTATGTAGGAATATAGAATGCTGCTTGGATTTTCCTAGGATAAAGGGTTCTTGGAAAGTCTCCCCGGCTCAACATGTGCAAGAGATGGTGAGAATTCTCGAGCTGTAGAAGCTACCACTCGTGCATAAATAATTTAAAATTAGATAACACTTCAAAATTTTTAAATAAAATATATTTATACATATAAAAAATTTTAACTAATTTTTAATAATATAATTTTGTGTTAAAAATTTATTTGGTCTAACATATAAAAGAATAAGTTTTTTTAAAAAAAAAATAACTATTAAAAATAGTATTATAATTATGAGTCTCTATTTTGTTGTAGTTTTTAATTACAATATTTGTAATTGAAAAAATTTTTTGTAGTCAGATGAGTAAAATAAAAAATGTTTTTGATTGTAATTAAATTCAAATTTTATTTTTATAAATGTAAAATTGAAAATTGCAATGTGTGATAGTATTTTAAAGTAACATTAATTTTTATTAAAAAAATTTACATAAAAAAATTTAAAAATTAATTTTATTTAATGTGAAGTTTTATTATTATTTTTAAAAAAATAATAATAATTTTTTACAATTATTTATAAAATTATTTTTAATAAAAAACTGAAAAACTCACTAATACAATCAAAAAATATATTCTTTTTAATTTTCTTTCTCTGCCGTTCACCATCTTCAATCTCTGGTTTTCCTTTTTAACCCCTTACGTCTCGCGTATTTATAAAGCAGAGGTGGCGTCACAGAGACGCGCCTATGCACTTCAGCTCCTCTATAAAAGCGCGATACTGTTTTTTGTTCTTTCGCTTGCTCTCTTACTGTCTCTGCTGTCTCTCGGTCCGGGTAGGTTTTTCTTTTCTTGCTCTTCTTTTGATTACTCATTCATTCTTCCACAATCTCGGCATAATTTAGTTGTTTCATATATTATATGCACGCTTTCTCCTACTCGGACTTGCTAAATAATTGATGGCCATGTCTTTTCCCATCAATTTCTTGGGACTTGATCTATAATTAATTTGCAATAACATGATTATCTTGATTGTCCGTCGTTCTGGGCTTGGTTGAGATTTATTTTTTCATTATTCGTGATTGACTTGAAAAATGTGAACTATGCATCTTATCTCTAGGGTTCACTCTTTTTATTTGTAAATTATTTGCTCTGTTATATGTTATGGATTACATCTTGCTATTTGACTTGCGTAAGCAGAATGTTAACTATATATATAGTAAATATTTTCATTGCAATTTTTTTCCAAACAGTAAATAGACAGCTTTTTTGAAGAGGTGATAGCAAATGCACCGCCACAAAATCCCCTGAAAACATGACCTCCAAGGATTTGGAGTTTGAGAAACAAAAAGGTTTAACCCAGCACATGGTGCTCTAATTATATTATTATTATTATTGTTGTTGTTATTATTTTATTACAACTATTTATATTTATAATTGAGATTCCGTTTTACTCCATTATTTTCTGTTTAACATGAAATGTGAAGAAACATGAGAAATGTGTGAAAGGATTTGTTTTTCAATTCTCTTTTTTATGTCATATTTGATTTTTTTTTTCCCCCTTTTTACCACATTTTACGCTTGTAATAACACCCTATTCATATGATGTTGTGCACCCTTGATTGGTAAGGCAATAAGGAATTTGTTGTTGATGGAAGCAGGTTTTAGTGTACATGCATACTTATGTTTGAAAAATCTATCAATATTTAGTGTGCCATGAATACCTATATTTGAACAATCTATCAAATTTTATGTTGGTATATCTTGACCAGTTTTTGTTGTGCATTTGATGTTATTATCATATGAAAACGCTTCTTTTGTTTCATTGATCACCTACATTATTCATATTTGCATGCTCCGTTTAATCTATTCAATAAGAGTATAGGAAATTCAAAAGTGCATGAGTGATTTGTTTGTACTCTGAGTTATTGAAAACTTTGTCTGCACAAAAACTAGCGTATGATTAGGCGTTTTGATTCATAGTCGGTTATAATTTAGACTAACAGAGTACCTCTAATAACTCAGTTTTTTAGGAATGAATTATGTCTTAAGAAGGAAAATTATAAAAAATATTTATAATACTTTTTAAGTAACTGTTAAAGAATAAAATTAAAATTAAAAAAAAACAGAACTCATATAAATAGAATTAAATTAAAATTAAAATAGATAAGATAATATGAAACAATATCATTGCACTATCCAATCTAATAAAATAAAATGTTGAGCCATGATATCAATAGTTCACATATAAAGGGATCCACGAGCACATCTATTACAGTAGGTTGAAGTAAAAAGAATCATAAATCAATGGCAGCTAAAGGTAGCTTTTCAAGACCTAAAGTAATAAACTTAGGGAGAGAGTAGGATGCTCTAAAATGTTATAAATTGAAGATTTACATGAATTACTTGGAGACCATATATAAGCAATGGCTCCTCCATTCTTTTGAGAGTATGATACTCTAAAATATAGTTAAGAGTTTTACAAGAGTTAATGGCTAATAAACAAGGAATCCAGCTACTATTCCTATGTAAAACATAAGTGGACCAATAACTATGTAAAGAAGACAACTTAAAAGGAACCATTTGTTTAAAATTCAACCAACACCATAACAGTTCAAATGAAACAAACGGAATTGAAGCCTTTTACTATGTGTTATATACATATTGAAGTGCTTGGCTCGATCTTGTTTTTTGGCAGTCTGCTGGAGCCTGGTTTTCCCAAGATAAAAAGGTGTCTTGCACGATTCATGGGTACTCTTATAGCCTAAAAAAGAATGGAGGACCCATTGCTTGGTTATGCAGTCAGATCGTAAGATGCTAACTAAGCCTGTATTTCCACGGGCTCAAACTCATAAAAATTAGATCTAGAAAAAGATACAGATTCGCCAGTGCCCATCGACTCAGTGGCCCTCTGTTACCTTTTAGAACTTATATTTGTGGTTTGTAATCCTTCGATTTGATCTAGCTTCTCCATGCCACTGATTAGATTATGTGTGGTCGTGATCACGATCTCCTTCTTTTAAATTTTCTGGAGGATTCTTGTCGCCATAGTAAATAAAAAGTGTGGCCGATTATTTGATGGACCAATTTGTCCCTTTCACATGGCTCTATATATGTTGAGCTTCGGTGCAGTCATAGTCTCAGTTTCGTACCTCAAATAAGTAATTCTTAGGAAAGGCTGATTGTTCATCTGATCACGAGAGCTGTGAACTTAACTCAAGAGTCAAGACATGAGTAGCCGTAGCGCTAATAGCGCCGTGATAGAACATATCTGCATCCGTTTTCAGGTGCCTCCAAATGTGACACGTGGCAAGAGCAACAGCTGAAATACGACCCTGTGAAAATTGTAAAGTCTGAAAGTGGAGAGATGGGCAGTTGGGTGAGGTGGGGCTGTGTTCTGGTCCACCACTGTGATATTCATTTAATATAAAAGCTGGGTTTTTAAAGGGGTTAGGAGAAGAAGGACACTGCATTTAGGGTGTGCATCTACCCAAATGATCATAATATACACGTATAGCTTTTAAGATTTGACCAACCCACAATTCACTATCCTTTTCCATGCCTCCCAACTGCTTATAAGGTTTTGCCCTTTTGTTTCGAGCCCCTGCTACATTTCTATCTCCATGGCAGGTTACCAATTCTAACGGTGTTTAAAACAATGACAAGACCCCGATGACTTGGGTGTAATTATCGTATATTTTTGTAGTGTGATTTGACGGAAATGCCCTCAATAAAATCTCTGTACGATGGGGTAATTTTGGTAAATGAAAAAATCTTATGGTCAAAAGTTCCCCAGCAAATGAACATGCGTGGTGAGAAAGGTGAAAGAAGGAGCGTCTGTTTCGGAGCCTTCCCGACGCTTCTTTTCATGTTTTCTTTGGCGGGTAGTCGTGTCCCCACCAGGAGATCTTCACTGCTACATATTTTTCTCTTGAATTGACCATTTTGCCCCTCAATACTCAATTTCCTGACTAACTTGTCCTTGCTTCGACCAATCAACTTTTTTTCCCCCCTACTCTTTACACAAACTGAGCGCAGAAATTTTCTATTTATAATTTAATTAAATTATTGCGATTGCGTTTTATTTGTTAAATTTATAAAATAACTAATTAATTTTAATTTTAAAATAATTTAATCTTATTCTTTATTATTATAACATGGTTTCTTGCTTTAAAGTTCCCGTACCTTATAAATTAATTATTTTGTAAAGTCAAAGATTTAATGATAAGCTTAGCTTAACATTTGTTGTTATGCATGTAGAAAACTGAGTTGGGCAGAGTAATTTAATTAAGTCTGTAAAATAAGTTACCAATAAATATCTTACGCTCTCATAATGGTTGCGTAAAGATTACGAGCAAAATAATATTTTAATTCACATTAAATACCTGAACGTAGAGATATAATGCTAACAACATTAAAAATAATATTAAAAATATAATAATAATAATAATAACGATACTATTAATAATTACAATAATATAACAACAATTATAAAAATAATAATAGTAATTTTTAATTACCAATAAAAATATCTTATACCATGGTTTGATTTTTATATAAGTATACCTTCTTGGTATTGGATGAGGACATGCCCTGCCCCTGCATTCAATGCAATTAATTAGTACGTGCTATTGTTTTGTATTTATATTTACATATTTATAATAAAAATATTTTGCATATTTAAATTGCTTGACTCATATATATATAATGTAAGAGATTAGTATAGAAAATATATATATATTTTTTGGTTTTTGTATTATACTACTAATTTAACATTTATAAATTAGTCGTGTGGCATTAAATATAAACAAAAGTTGGTAATCATGCCTCCATCTAATTAAGTAATCAAATCTTCTTTTACAATCAAAAACTTTCAAGCAATTAAATCTGAATACGTGACAAATTAATTATTTTTAATGAATCAAATCAACATAATTATTATAAAGAATCAAACCTCTCTACACGTATAAAATAAATAAGTATTTAATATTATTTGATAATTTTATTAATTTTTAATTGTTTAAATATTATTATTTTTTATAATATGAATAATAAAATAGAATATCATGATAATAATTGTTACAATAAACTTTAGTAAAAGTTTAAAAATTACTTATAGTGGGGAGATCATTGCAATAACACTTTTAAGCAGCACATAACACAAAATCAACTTGGAGTAATGTTGCAAAATATAGAATATGTAAATTTTTCAATTTTTAAACTAAATTTAAAATTTTAAATATTTCTAAATTAATTTTATACTTTTTTATTCCAAACATGCCGTGGAATATCCAAACGGCGTTTCAGACATTCAAACGGTTTTTAATAACCAGAAAATAATAATTAAAAAAACCTGTGAAGAGGAGGAGGGTAAAAGACGTTCTGACTCGTCTTCAGAGGTTCATAATGTCGCGTCATCAGTTTTATTATTTCTTCCTGAAATCTCTTTAAAAAAAAAACATTTATTAAGATCCCCCAGAAAAATTTCCCCCCCCCTTCTTTTTCTTTAATCCTCTAAAAAAATCTGTTAGAAAAATCCCCTACAATATACGTATCGGTGCGGGAAGAACAGTGGAGTAATTTACTTTACACTCTTCGGCCTTCGAGCCACGCCACCTCTCTCTTTCTCTTTCTCTTTCTCTCTTTTTCATACATAGATTTACTCATAATTTACATACATATACTCATTCGGTTCTGTGAAGAAAAGGATCTGATGATATCAGTACGACCTCCCCTTTTAAAGCACTCGTAGCAAAATATCCATTTTTATCTCCTTCCACTCGCTACACCCAATTCAATTTTTTCCCCTCTCATTTTGCTGCATGGCTATGAAAAGCAAGACCCACCACAACGCCAATGCCAATGCCACTAACGACAACAATGTCTACAACTGTGAGAGCTCCGAAAGTGCCACTAACAGTAACTCTCCCAGTCCCCCACCATCACCTCGCCGTCACTCTACCAATGGCACCTCTCACTGCCGCCGCCGTCTCCGATCCAAAACCCACTCCTTCTCTCGCCAGGATGCTCTCGCCGCCGCCGTCCTCACCCGCCGAAGTCTCCGTTATCTGCTCCTCCTGCCCATGTTGTACGTCTCTGGCCTCTTAATGTGCGTCGGGCCCTTCTCCGGTCTTGTGGGTCACTCACCGCTTCCCGGCTCCGTCTACCGTAGCCACGAGATCTTTCAGAAGCTCTGGGCTGATATTCAGGCTGACAATTCTTCGGCTATTGAGGTCTGCTCTTTTCTTTTGTTCCCATTTTCTGTTTGTTTTATGATTTAACTTTTTTGGGAGCTTTCCCCTGTTCAAGTAAAAACAAGGAGAGAGCGAATTTAAGGACTTTTTATTTATTTAAATTTAGTAACTGAATCTGGTCTGGTAGTAGAGATTGTCTCCAGTCCAGGTGGATTTTGAACCAGTGTTGTGTAT